GTGACATCTTCTTTATACATTCAAATTTGCCAAATGCCAATACATTGAACATTCTTGAGATTTTATATTTTAAGTCTAAAAAATTTTGCTTACTAATTTTTTTTTGTGGGTTGAATGGAGAATTCCTAGAATTGAAGTTGCTGAAAGCCATCTAAAATGCAGTGGCGGAGGCACACATGGGCCAGGAGGGGCACAGGCCCAACATGAATTTTTTTTTTTTTTACTTATGTGTATTTTGTGTATTTTTTTAATATTTTCAATGATGCCCACCCCTGATGACTTTAAATAAACAAAATTAGGTCCATTGAGAGAAAAAATCTCTTACTTAATGGACTGGGATAAAAATAGAATGAGTTATAGAATTTCTTGGAGTGAACAATAAAAAAATGAATTAAAAAACAAAAAAAGTCTGGCCAATTCCGTTCTCAAATTCTCCCCAAAAGCACTAAAGCAAACAAAACACCAGTAACCAGTGAAGTGTCGCATTCCACAACCTTCAAACTTTGGTGATATTACCATTTGTGACTTTGACATTGATATTTTTATCACATCTCTTGTATAATTAATCCAATTTTTTTTTTGTAAAAGGTTATAGTTAACCTCTTTTTAGTTATTTTTTTATTTTCAAAGATATTGTATACTTGCTTTTGAGTAATGTGTCATTTGTAATCACCCTCAGCTCCATAATAACCAATCACTATTTTTAAAAATTATTCAAAAAAATTTACTTTTTACCACCCAAAAAAATTCTATAATGGTTTATGTAAATTCTCAAGTGATAACATTAAAGAATAAATGGATAGTAAAAAATTGAAAAAGAGAAACGAATTATAATTACGTGCATTGCTTTAGGCCACTAGTATGAATATATAACTAACAATTTAGAGGTGAGAGGGTTTAGGAAGTAACTGGGTTCGAGTTGTTGGAAATGTGTATATCACTGTTAAAAATTTAAATCCAACTTATTATTATGCATATTTATCAATTGTGTTAATTTTAAAATCGTGTTGTGTCAAATTCATATTGTGCTCGTGTCGCTAAGTAAAATTTACACCCCTAATTGTTGGAAAGGCAGAGACCGCAATGAGGTGGTGGGAGTATGGTGGTGTCGCAGGTGGTGGGGCTATCAATGCTACGGGTTATGCATATGTCAGAGATAGTGAGATTTTTTGGGAAAGGTTCTAAAAGGGGCTATCGAGGGTTAGTAATCGGATGATGTTCTAAGTGGGGTTGTAGGGTATGTTAGTAATAAGACGTGTTCGAAGAGGCAAGTCAAAAGGAACTTATACATCATGAACACAAAGACAATCTTTTCATTTGGCAAAATAAAATTGTGTATATCTTACTCTCCTTAGCCTCGGAGATTTGTGTGTTGCACAATCTTGATAATATATGAGAAGCAAACCCCGAGTGACAATTGATGATGCACAAAATAGGTTATGCACAATCAAATCAGTCGAGTGTCAGATGCAAGGTAATTAATGGAACAATTAATAGAGAAAGAAAAAGATTGGGCTATTGGGCCTAGGTGACCTAACCACTAAAAGTGGCGACGGTGGCCAGAGAAATTTATTNGAACAATAAAAAAATGAATTAAAAAACAAAAAAAGTCTGGCCAATTCCGTTCTCAAATTCTCCCCAAAAGCACTAAAGCAAACAAAACACCAGTAACCAGTGAAGTGTCGCATTCCACAACCTTCAAACTTTGGTGATATTACCATTTGTGACTTTGACATTGATATTTTTATCACATCTCTTGTATAATTAATCCAATTTTTTTTTTGTAAAAGGTTATAGTTAACCTCTTTTTAGTTATTTTTTTATTTTCAAAGATATTGTATACTTGCTTTTGAGTAATGTGTCATTTGTAATCACCCTCAGCTCCATAATAACCAATCACTATTTTTAAAAATTATTCAAAAAAATTTACTTTTTACCACCCAAAAAAATTCTATAATGGTTTATGTAAATTCTCAAGTGATAACATTAAAGAATAAATGGATAGTAAAAAATTGAAAAAGAGAAACGAATTATAATTACGTGCATTGCTTTAGGCCACTAGTATGAATATATAACTAACAATTTAGAGGTGAGAGGGTTTAGGAAGTAACTGGGTTCGAGTTGTTGGAAATGTGTATATCACTGTTAAAAATTTAAATCCAACTTATTATTATGCATATTTATCAATTGTGTTAATTTTAAAATCGTGTTGTGTCAAATTCATATTGTGCTCGTGTCGCTAAGTAAAATTTACACCCCTAATTGTTGGAAAGGCAGAGACCGCAATGAGGTGGTGGGAGTATGGTGGTGTCGCAGGTGGTGGGGCTATCAATGCTACGGGTTATGCATATGTCAGAGATAGTGAGATTTTTTGGGAAAGGTTCTAAAAGGGGCTATCGAGGGTTAGTAATCGGATGATGTTCTAAGTGGGGTTGTAGGGTATGTTAGTAATAAGACGTGTTCGAAGAGGCAAGTCAAAAGGAACTTATACATCATGAACACAAAGACAATCTTTTCATTTGGCAAAATAAAATTGTGTATATCTTACTCTCCTTAGCCTCGGAGATTTGTGTGTTGCACAATCTTGATAATATATGAGAAGCAAACCCCGAGTGACAATTGATGATGCACAAAATAGGTTATGCACAATCAAATCAGTCGAGTGTCAGATGCAAGGTAATTAATGGAACAATTAATAGAGAAAGAAAAAGATTGGGCTATTGGGCCTAGGTGACCTAACCACTAAAAGTGGCGACGGTGGCCAGAGAAATTTATTAATAAAAGAATAAACTAGTAGGTGAGGGAGAGAGAGAGAGAGAGAGAGAGAGAGAGCAAGAGTAAACTCAAGGGGTGGTGTGTGTGATCTACCCCCATGTGTGGGGGGGATTTATAATTCATACGCACAGAGTCTTAGCTAAGGCGATGATATGAAGGTCAATGCTACTAATTTATCGGGGAGGATAGCTACAATTTGGGATGAGCACTATCTTGAAATAATGGCTATCTCGATGATTGCTCTCTCACGTGCATTGACTCTTCTTGGACTCTTAAACTTTGTATTACACTGAAGCCATGAGCCAAGTCTAGCCTACTTTTTGATGATTTGGACTTAATCTATGGACTAGGCCCAAGCCTAGTTTGAATTTGAGCTCGTCATTTTCCCCCCATGCCCTAAGCCTTAAAAGTAATGAGGGGTTGAGAGCATAAGTGAGCTCCTTCATTTAGGTAAACCAAGGTATCTTGTTCTACACTATAAATTTTTTTCTTCAAGAGAGAATGAAGAGACCCTTATGCAATGCCATGGAGATAAATCCGGGCGATGCCAAGGGCGGAGCAAAGCTAGACGGCGCCATGGGTGACACCATGGAGGACCTAGGCAAATTGATGATATCTTTGGTTTCTAAAAATTCTCTCTTTCATTCATTTTCCACATGTGATCCTGTGATTGATAGATCAATTGTGGAGGCTCTCTATGTCACAAGGATGACAACTTCCCCACCTCCTAAAAGGGCGAGATCTAATGGCCCCAGTGCTTCCCAATTGGGTCTGATGGTGCCCCTGCTCCTTCTTAGCATATGACCTTTTTGAGTCTTAGGGTTAATCCTAGGACTACTTTAGAGATTGAGACTCCTATGCAAACTTCCACTGAGACCGGAGTTTTGTATAATTGTCTTGCTTTCAGTAGTGGCCTGGTGTCCATCTTGCAGGACGGGAATTTGGCCAAGGAGGGGCTTTGAAGGTTTGACATCCTCGGATACTAGAGAGGTTGACTCTCGGGGTCCTGAGAGTATCATCAATACTGTGATGGAGGGCTTCTCTATGATACCCTTCTTTTCTATGTAACTTTTTCTTCTATATGTCTTGGTCATACTGATATTCTTACTTTTGGATATTCGCAGATGGCTGCGGGTTTTTTGTGCCTTTGTTTTAGGATGCTCAAACTTGATAAAGTATCAAGAGTTTTAGCGAAAGAGAGAAGGGCGCACCAGGCTACTGAGGAGTAATTGAGGTTAGATCATAAAAGAACAACACCTCTTGAGGCTGAGCTTTTAGGCCACCAAGGCTATTTGCGTGAGAGTAGAGACAGAGTTAGGCTAAGCTTTTGGCAACTCAGAAAAGAGTCACTAAGCTAGAGAGATAGGCTTCTTGCGTGAGAGCAAAGGCAAAGTGAGGCCAAGTTTTTAACAACTCAAGAGAGAGCCACTAAGCTGGAGACATAGGCTACATGCGTAAGTGTAGAGGCAGAGGAAGACCAAGCTTCTAGCAACTCAGGAGAGAACCGCTAAGCTGGGGACTAAGGTTACTTGCATGAGAGTATAAATAGAGTTAGACCGAACTTTTGGCAACTCACGAGAGAGTCGCTAAACTAGGAACTGAGGTTATTTGCATGAGAGTAGAGGTAGAGTTAGGCAGAGCTATTGGCAACTCACGAGAAAGCCGCTAAGTTGTTAACTGAGACTGCTTGCATGAGAATAAAGAAAGATGAAGAACGAGCTTCTAGTGACTCGTGAAAGAGATGCTAAGTTGGGGACTGAGGCTGCTTATTTGAGAATAAAGGCAAAGGTAAGCTGAGCTTTTGGTGATTCGAGAGGCTCTCTCTCAAGAGATGGGGAGAAAAAGGGAGATGACAGTGAAGGTAGCTAGAGAGTGTCAATAGGATATAGTTGACACAACGTAGGTGTCAAACGTAGGAGACGAGGTTACTTAATGCTCCAGAAAGGGTGATGCCAGGCACCAAGGGCACTATTGGATGAGTGAGGCACGCGATGAGGACGTTGTGCCCAGTGGGCGAGGAGGTAGGCACCAAGGCATGGGCGCACAAACGAGCGAGGAGGTTGGCGCGCGGGTGCTACGGAATTGGGCCGATTGGTTGGTCACCATTGGGGACTATTCACTTTTCCATCTTTCTCCATTACTTCCCTTCTTCTTAGATTGGGCTAAACAACCTTTTTCTCCACATCCTTATATATTGCGAGGAGAGGCTTCCAAAGAAAGTGGAAATGAAGAATAGAGGGATCTTGACGAAGATGAACAAAACCATAGGCGATGCCACAGTGGGGCTACCGGAGAAATCAGGTGGCGACATGGTAAGTTCTATTGGCGAATCCTTGGCGAGGCTTGAAGCCCTTAGCGACACTATGCCCCAAGGCGACGCCAATAGAAGAGGGAAGATAAGCAGCACCAATAGCGAATTTGGCAACGCCAATAGAGGGACAACAGTTGGTCTTCGCGAGGAGTTGGGCAGCGCCAACAGAGGTGGTGGCGATGTTGTGGGAGACAGCCTAGATAGTGCCCTTGGCGCAGCTAGTGGCGATGTAGTGGGTGGTAGCATGTTGGGCGCTGGTATAGGAAGGCTGGGCGTAGGCGCAGCACTGGGCGCTAGCGTGCTGGCAAAAATCATTAAGAAATGGCAAAAATTTGAACGACCATAATTTTGTGCTTGGTTATCCGTTTGAGGCGAATATTTTTTTTAATTCGGGTATTTTTTTCGAGATCTACCACAATCAAACCGCCTATGGCGGTTTGTGCATCAATTTTGCCCAAAAAATGCTTATTTTTCACTAAATTTGAATTTTAACCACAAATTAGTGAAAAAGTATAATTTAAACTGTTCTTCCAAGGATCTTAGTGTTAAAGGTATAAATCAATACTACTCGAAACTTGAAAATAACGTGACTAAAACGAATAATAAACATATTGATTTAGGGTGAAATATGAATAAATTAATTTTGATATAAAAAAACACGTAGAACTTGAATAATTCAAACAAAATTCTGATAGTTTTACATCAGGATTATATAAGTAATTGTAAAATTAGAAACATTTTACTTAGTTTAGTAGACTAGACTCTAATATATCAAAGCATGCGGGAGGTTAGTTTGATAGGTAGAAAAGGGGGATTCTAAAGGTAGATTTCATGTTTATGAATAAATTGTGTCAACTTGAGCACAGTATTATCAGAATCGGATTGGATTGATTGGTTAGACCGGTTCAACTATGCGAATTTTTGATCTCATTTATAACAAACGTGCGTTAAACTTTTTTTTTTTTTTGAAAACGTCTTTCTTCTGTTTTTAAAAATTATCTCCCGTTTACAAAATGGTAGGAAAAAAAAAATTGTTTATAAACGGAGTTTTTTTTCTTGTTTACTCTAAAAATCAACATAAAAACAAAAAACGAAAAACAGAATTGTTACCGAACGAAAATCTGATGTTTTGTTTTTAATTTAGGACAATTTGATTTGCCCTAAATCGCATAAGGCAGAGACCACTCAGGCCAGTGCTCTTCGTCTTCCTCTCACCACCAGGGAGGCAGCGATTAACTCAGGCAGGCAGCGATCAACTCAGGTGTCTATCTGGGCTGTTCTGCGATCAACTCAGGTGTCTATCTGGACTATTCTGTTCACTGTTCAGGCAGTCTTCTCATCCTTTCTCCATTCTCCTTTCTCACATATAATCATGTTGATGTTGGTTCCTAAGGAATTTAGAATATACATTTCTGCCTTATTATTTGGATTGGTCCACAGTGTCCTATCATCTTGCTAGCCATTTTGTTCACCTAGCTTGTGTGGTATGTCAAAGGGTGCATTTCGAGCAATTCAAAGCTTTAAGAAATTGGTGGTTTTTTAGAGATTAAGCTTTATGATTTTTTTCATTCCCTGAAATATTATTTGCCTCATTCCCTGAAATATTATCAATACAGTTGGTTTGTGATGCAAAGCAGGTTGACAAAGCAGATAGTAAATTGAGTTTTTGAAGATGAATTGATACTGTAAACATCATTGATTTTGAGAATTGTATGCATTTTAAACATATTTTATATTGTTTAGCTAAATTATTATGTTTTATAATTATTATATATATATTTTTATTTTTTTTATTATATGGCCGGTCCGACCAGCTGGGTTGAACCATTGACCCAGCCCTTTTGCCTGTTCGATGACTGGTCCAGTTCTGAGAACATTGCTCGAACATTATATGATTAACAAACAGATCGAGTTATAGCTTCAGACTATGACACGAATAATTACTTTGGGTGGATTATACTTGACTATTACTCGAAGTGAATCCAAAATGGCACAATCTAAACGTGACCTCTTACGATTCAATTGTCACCCCTATGCGATGAAACCAAATCCTATATTATTTTTAGTAGTATCCTACTTTTTTTAGCATGCTTATTACTTCCAAAATGACAACATGTTTATTAATTGTATTTACATAAGCACAAGTCTACCACACTAATCATATGCTAAATAATCATTTAACATACATATTATTTCATAATCATATAACAAGCTAATAATTTTATTAAATTTTTTTTTCCTCAACTTTTACACAAATAGGGTCTAAAATGAGAATTTCACATGGGCCTCTATTAATGTTTACTACGAGACGAAATATACTATATGAGTATTGGATATTTTACAGAGAGTTGCAGTGTGATTTAGTTTTAATTTTTTAGTGGTTTCGAGATGAGGCGGGATTAGACAATAAAATTAGTGCAAATTTTGAAGTCATGATCATATAGATGAATAAGTAGATTAGAAACTTAAAAGAAAGTGACTGAGAGAGCAAAAAATAAGGACAAAGACTAGGAGAGAGATAGTAAGAGTGGAAGCAAAGCGAGTGAAAGGAATTTGAGAGATTACTACTTTTAAAACTACAAGTCATAACTTTTTATGATTTTTCTAGAATTTTTGTTGTATTTTAGGCTTTTCTACAAGTTTTTACATAAATTAATGAAATATATTGGGTTTCTAAACTTGGTCCATTCAAAGGGCCCTTAGAACGTGGAGTTGAACTAAGGGTTGAAAATATAATTAGGACCCTAAAATTTTGGGCCCTAAGTGATTGTTTAGGGCTAGTTGCACCTTTTTCTATTCAAAATATCAAAGTGCCTGCACATCCCTCATTGTTGATTATTCGTTCAAGGAACTAATTAGGTGAGCAAAATTGATCACTAGATGACATGCAAGGATTAAATTTAATAATGGTGTTAATTCATATTTTATACATTTTGTTTCAATTTTTCAAAACCCTATGTGGACTGTTACAAGGTAGGGATATAACTAAGATGTTCAATATTACAAGGTTAATGTGATGCCAAATAAATTTTTTAATGAAAAGTGGGGTTGGATCTTCTTTAAGGGACTTATAATGACTATTGTTCGTTATAACAACTTATTTAGGGATAAGTCCGTTTTTTATCTTACTAATAAGTAGTTTTTTTTTATACAATTAATAATAAGTAGTTAAGTCCACCATTTTTTTAAAACTCAAAAATAGTCTTCCTTGAGAGTAGCTTACATTAATTTCTTAATTGAGAAATTGTTACCTCTTAATTTACTATTAATGGAGATATGCCAATAAATTTTTTGCCATAAATTTAAATAGGACTCAGTTAGACTATTCTCTCTCTCTCTCTTACTCTTTCTCTCTCTCCCGTGGAAACACCACCAAGAAAATTAGATTTGTTGTCCTTTTATAAACCCAAAAACCCAACTCAAAAACCTTTAAACTCATCGCAATCGAAATATTACGATCATAGTTATAGTGCTCAAATCCCTCCAATCTGAGCAACAGAGCCACCATGCCACATGACTCAAGTCGATGGCCTGCAAAGAAAACTCAGTAGTCGATCTAGAAGATCATACCATCCAAGAACATGGGTAATTTTTCTTCCCTTTTTTTTTTTCTACCAAATACTCCTTGAATTTAGCCAACAAATATTTCAAATCGTGTCCATCTGTCTCTGTCTCTCTCTCAATTACTCTTCAATCTCTCTACTTTTTCTTAGACTTCGTCATTGACCCACCAATTGCGATGGAAGGGAGAAAGGCTGGTGTAGGTGCAAGATGACGAGAAGAACATTCATGCGCTATTCCAATTCAAATTGAACACAGTAGCTACAAGTCTCCAAATCAATCAAAATTGGTGTCTCTTTGTCTATAAATGAATATCGCATTTACTAGTTTGACCCCAAATTTTATTTAATTTTTTATGTTACTATTATTTTTTGTGTATGTTACTATTTTTTGTTGAGCATGTTACTATTTTTTTTTATGAGCATGTTACTGTTAATTTTGAATGTTACTTTTTTTTGTTCACCATATTACTACTATTATTTTTTTAAATATTAATTTTTAATGTTACTATTTTTTATTTTTAAATGTTACTATTTTTTTGTGTTTAAATATTACTATTTTTTGTGTTTGAATGTTTAGGAGTTTGACTAACATTAAAATTGTCTCTCATATCTATATATATCCATATATAGAATATGATTATTTAAGAGTTGTTAGTTTTCAAATTTGTGTTAATAATATATAACTACTGAGGGTATTTTGAACAATAAAGATCAAAATGGATTTAATATTAAATAAGTTTCTTTGATGGACTTATTACCAAATAAGTTTACAATGGGGGACCGGCCTCCAAATTTCTAATATAATTGAAAATTGGGGTTGAGTCATTTTTCAGGGATTCATAATAAATTGAGTTCGTCAAAGAAACTTATTTGCTGGTAAGTCCGTTTTTAATCTTTCAAATAAGTAGTTCCACTATTTTTTTTAAAACTCCAAAATACTCTTCCTTAAAAACAGCTTTAATTAATTTCCTATCTTGAAAGTTATTATCCTTTAATTTAATGTCAATGGAGATATGCCAATAAAATCTCCATCATAAATTTAAAATTCAAATTCAAGGAACTTAATTGGACTATTCTGTTTGTGTGTGTGTGTGTGTGTATCATTTTCAGGCCAACTTTCCTTTGTATTTGGAAGAAAGGAGTGGTTGAGTAGTACTCACCAGTGCCTGACCTTGCAACCCTAATCACCTGCTGCCTATGGGTGTTGTACAAACTGCCCATGGTGTACCCACATAGATCACATGTGGTGACCATCAATGTGATAGAGTTTGCCATTTAGCTAGTTTACTTGTTTATCTTTATCATATACTCTGACAAAAAGAAGAGGTCGAGAATATATATATAAAGAGAGAAACACACAAGTACTCATAGTGACCGATAGATTTGACTATCACCATTCATGATAGAGAAGAATTAGAATATTACAAAGTAGGATGACCGGTATAATTTTTTTTTCATGTTATTATTATTTTTTAATTAAGCTTGTTACTATTTTTTTAATTAAGATTTTGAAGGTTTTAGTTGAGCATATTACTATTTTTTTTATGAGTATATTATTGTTAATATTAAATGTTACTATTTTTTTGTGTTTAAATATATGTACTAATTATTGCCCGTATCTGAAGGCATGAAATAATAAAAAAAATTTAACAATAAATATATTTATATTCATACCCAAAATCAAATCACAAACATGGAGGAGGGAGAAAGAAATTTAAGCACCAGTTTGTAATAGGGGTGAGCGGTGGAAGTGGTAGTGGGCGGTAGTAGTGGTAATGGGCGGCATTAGTGGTGGTGGTAGAAAACGGTGATGGTTATGGTGAATGGCGATGATCGTGGTAGTGGTGGCAACTATGGGTGACGATGGTGGTAGTGGCAGTCATGAGTGACAGCGGCTGTGGTGGTGACGGGGCGACGGTGATACTGGTTGGTAGTGGTGGTGGTGGGATGACGACGGTGGTGGTGGCAAATGATGGCGGTGGTGATAGGTGTGGTTGGGTGGGGGATAGTGGGTGGCGGCAGTGGTGGTCGACGGTGGGTGGCAACAATGGTGGGCGATGACAAGTGGTGGTGGTTAGTAGTGGTAGGTATGGTGGGAGTGGGTGACCGTGGCTGGCAGCGATGATGAGCAACAATGGATGGTGGTGGGTTGTGATAGTGGGTAGTGGTGGACAACAATGGTGATGGTGGGTGCTAACGGTGGGTGATGATGGTAGTGTGATGATGGTGGTAGTGGTAATAAGTATAATAATGAGATGACGATGGTGGCAGATGGTGGCAGTGGACGACGGTGGTAGGAATTGGTGGTGGGTAGCAATGGTAGTGGTGGGGGTAGGGCAATGGCGGTGGTGGTAGGGTGACGACACCGGTGGTGGTGACGGGGTGGCGGCGGCGACGGTGGTGTTGGTTCTTGTGGCAAAGGTGGTGATGAGGTGACGACGGTAGTGGTGATGGTGGTGGTAGGGCAGTGGTTGTGGTGGGGGTGGTAGGGTGGCTGTAGCGGCGGCGGCGGTGGTGGTAGTGAGGTGGTGATGGTGGTAGGTATGGTGGTGGTAGTGGTTGTTGTGATAGAGATAGTGATGGGGTGACAACGGTGGTAGTAGTGGTGATAATGGTAGGGGTGGTGGTGGGATAGTGGGGGTAGTGATGGTGGTGGTAGTTATGGCGGTGGGATGCTAGTGATGGCAGTGGTGATTGTGGGAAAATGATAGTGGTGGTAGGTTGGCGACAACGGTGGTGGGGGTAGTTGTGGTAGTGGTTGTGCGGTGGTGGTGGTGGTGGTAATGGTAGTGGTGGGGTAGTTTCAAACATTACTTTTTTTTAAAGTACTTATGAGAAGTTATAAGTGTTTAAAACACTTTTAAAAAGTCACCCAAATCATACAAATTTGGGGTGTTAATATTAAATGTCAGATTAACTTTAACGTAAAATTTAAAAATATTTCAACCGCGAAAAATAAAAGTTATTTTGTTTATCTTTTAAAATTTGAATTGTGTTGTACTTTATATATATATATATATATATATCTGTGTATGTATATGTGTATGATAGAGAGAAAATAGTCTTAATTTATATATGAATATTTATAATATAAAACAGGGTAAGTTTCAATAAGTTCATCCAACGGTCTCAAATAGACTCATCCAACGACTCTTAACATCAGTCAAAATCATCGACAAACTCCGAATTCTTAGTTTTCAAATTGGGAAATGCTATTTGGATCGAATTTGGGGACGTTATTTAGGGACCTAATAATGTGACTTCAATAAAATTATTGAATTAGTTGTGAGTTTCAATGTTAAATAGAGTCCATAACTAATCCAATAATTGTATATCACTAAATTCCTAAATAAAGTTCTCAAATAAGTTCTCCGTAAGATTGCTTGCTCTTCCAAATTTGTTTTAATTAAATATAAACCCCTGAAGGTATTTTCAGAGAGTGGGAATCCGCAATTCATAGCCCTGGCCGAAGGGCCGGCAGCCTACTGTGTTAACAAGCGGATGCCAGAGGTAAAACAGAGCTAGAAGCCGCTAGAAAACCTAAGAGATGCTGGGATTTTCATATGGAGAGCTCTTCCTCTTTCTTGGGGCTACCGCTGCTCTCATTGGTACTCTCTCTCTCTCTCTCTCTCTCTCTCTCAATCAATGCATCTATCGCTCTATTCACTGCAATACAACACAGGAATTTCCTTTAGATATTTGCTCCGGTGATTTTGTTTTAATTTAAGTTGCATTCTAGTTTTTTTTTTTTTTTTTCGGATTCTGTATATTTTTCGCCTGAAAAGATGTAGTTTAGGTCTGGGTTTCCGTTTTGTATTTGTTGATGCACAATTGCATAATGTTTCAGATAATTAAGCGATGATATATTCTGATCAAGGGATTAATTATTTAATGAATGCACAATTAGGCCCCAAAGACCTCCCAATCATAGCAAGAACAGCAGGCAGATTAGCTGGTCGTGCAATTGGTTATGTTCAATTAGCCCGTGGCCAATTAGAAGCCGTCATGCAGCAATCTCAAGCTCGCCAGGTCTCTGTCTCTGTCTCTGTCTCACACCCCCCCCCCCTATATTTATATTATTGGATGTATGTGAACATAAATATACAGCCATCCTATGTGTCAATACTCTCACACACGCACAATCTTTGAGAATTAGTTAAATTTTGTCATCGAGACTCAAGTTAAAACTAGCATTACATTTTTGTGCGTGCCAACAGAGCAGACTTCAATAAGTTTATCCATTGTTCTTATCCAACTTTTAAAATCATTCACATTGCATTGTACCTTTAGCCACACGTTACTTTTAGTCCTTATATATTTAATGGCATGAATCATATTTTCCATAAATGATGTTTCCATTGAATGATCAAGCATAAATTTTGTGGTGTTATTGATATAAAAGGTTTGAAACAATGCCCTTTCAAAGTCATGTTCTCTCCAAGTTATCATCCACACTAAATGTCATACAAATTATGTGTGTACGGTCGTGTGTGAGTGTGTGCATTTTCAGGTTTCATATAGTGTGTCAGTCAGATGCAGAAATAGTTGCATGAAATTATGATGCTGGTGTATAATGGTTCTGTTTAGTTATTGTGTTCTACAAATTCCAGGTGCATAAAGAACTGCAAGATACCATGGCTCAACTAGAAGCCATTCGTCATGAAATCCGAACCATCTCGTTCATGAATCCTGGTCCATTGACTACAAGACTAGTGAATAATCTTAACCTTACATCTACTAGTAATGGTATAAAGTCTGAAATTCTAAATTTCTCCTTAAATTGATATGTATTGCTTGTAGTACTTTTTCATCTTTCAATGAAATGAAAGTTGTGATTCTTATAAAAAAAAAGTTAGCTTTTTAGTTGTGAAAATCTCTAATTATACCAGCTCTTTTGGATTTATAGGGAACAGTGAACCTGAAATGCTTGAAGAAAAGAATTCATTGATAGCTTCCAGTTCTAAGGTTGATTGAGCAGATCACATTAATGTACATGACAAAACTTTACACATAATAACTAATGCTGGTCTAATATTGGCTGATCGATCTTTTTCAGGATTGCATTTCAACAGCCTCAGGCTCATCTGATTTGCACAGTCAAGCAACTACGTATGAAAGATTGGCTGAATCCACTGTTCAAAATGCAGAAGCTATTAATGAGTTAACTGATGAATCCGGCCTTGTTGTCTTTCCTGTCTCCGCCGAAAGTGCTGGAATGTTGCCAAATCGCGGAGGTAATAAACTTTCTTAGTTCCCATTATCACTTTAAGCGCCACGTTAATCGATCCAAATAGAATCAGTCTTGCCTGATACCTTAGCCTGCATTGAAAATTTGAAATGGCTTATACATGTGTTTTCCCATCCTGATAGCAATAGAGTAGGGACAAATTACCCCCATCAACCTAATTATTTGGAAATGAAGCACTTAAATATGCGTGATCCACTGACATATTATGGAACAGAATCTAGTTTGGTCTAGACTAGATTTAAGACTGCATATATCTAACCCGGACCCCGTAGTGGGGGGATGCTCGTGCATTGGGCCGCCCATTTTTTGCCTAATCAGCCATGCATGGGTAGCTTTTTCTCCTTTTGGAATTTGTTAGACATAGACCAGTAAGGGATTCTAGCCCAACCTTGATTAAGTCCAGTATAAAGTGCACCAGCAAGCCAAAGCAGAGATGGGTGATTCATATCAATGGCAGAGGCCACCAACGGTGTAAGTGTTTAAGATCTGAGCCATAGTAGATGGGAGGAAATCTAAAACTGTCCCAATTAATGTGGGGCCAGGTGGGTTGCTAGGTTTACCTGCCCCATAGCCACGCCTGTTTTGTTTCCTACTGAGAGAAAAGTGGATGTGGGGAATCATCCTTGCTCAAGAACTTTACCTATGAGTGACCTAAGCATACAAAAAGCATTCCTGTGAAAATGATTGTTTTACATATAACAAATGGAAATACCATCCTTCATATTCTCCTCCCTCCAATTAAAGAAAACCACCCTTAACCAAAAAAACAACCCTTGACAAAGAATTAACCAGTGCATGTGGTGTCAGATGATGCAAAGGGATCTGACATATTACTGGAAGCAATAGTAGAGGCGGAGGTGGCACGCAATGCGAAAGATTTTTTTGCGCAGCCCCAAAATCAAATAAAATGTGACTAAAAAGGTATCAGCTTTTGAATTCTAATTGCGTTTTTTGTTTGTTGTCTGTTAGCATTGATAAATCAACATTTGTATGTATCTTTTAAATGTTTGTGGGAGTTCCTGATAATGAGTTAAACTCGGCAAGAATTTTAGTCCCACTTTTGGAGCAGTATGACAAATACTTGTTAATATGCATGTATAACTCAGTGTAATGGCTTTGTATGATGTAATGTATGTTGTATTGAGTTTTAAATCAAATTTTTGCATTTTTGCTATGGCAGATGAGCCAAGTGCCATGCCAAGAGGAGTCATGTGGGGGAAAAGGAGAGGGGAAAGAAGAAGAATACTGGTTTACGTCAGATTATGCAAGTGTCCTTTGGTCACCAGTTTTGCGGTTATTTTGACTGCCTCCTATAAACTTATTTTTTTTGCAGTTTCAATAGTGCTTTTTGTCTCTTCATCAACGTGAATGAGTTTCATTACTGAAAGCCAAGTTACTAGGGAAGCTTTGTGGGTTGAAGTCAGTTATATAGTTATCATGGGTGAAATCTTAATTGAAAATATGGGATTCAAGCATGAAATCTTCTCAAAATCAAATTGGTAGCACACGAACGAATACAGGGCTGGGGATGATTTCATACCATTTGAACTGCTTGCCATGTTGGTTGTATGATATGAGCCCCTCAACCCAGATCGAAGAAAAGAAAGAATAGGTTCCAAGCATAAAATTTCTTAGCACGGCTTTATTTTGTTTGATTGAGAAAAACATTGGAATAGCTTCAACTGCTTTTTCTGTATTAGTTGTACTAAATTTAGGAATGGTTTCAACTGCCCAGATTAATAGTTATTGAATTTTACTATTCCTTAAACGAATGATGGTTTCTTTGATAATCTGAGGCTGCAGTGCTGTTGGATGTAGTCCAGTAATTTAAATGCAAAAATAGTTGTTGCAAAATTGTTGCTGAAATAAGTTGAAGGGATGTTTATAATATATCGTACGCCAATGATAGTTTGCAATTGCATGGACACAATGCTAGGACTTGCGCTCTTTAAAATTGAAAACCGAAACGTACTACAAAATAAGTTTGATGTTGCAATTTAATCTAGCAAAGTAAAACTAAAATGGGTATGTTTGAGATTGACAGGAACATTTTGAAAACGGTAGCAATTATTTTTGGTAACTTTACTCCCATGCAATTGTTATATGACCCAACAAAGGAGCTTTTTCCCAAAACCTAATCTCCTCAAAAATTTTATTCACAAATTCAATCAGTTTTAAACTTATTTTTTAAATTCAGGCTCTTTTTAAAAATATTATTTGAAATGACGATTTTAAATTGAAATTCTTTTATTGAAAACATCATTCAAAATGATATTTTTAAATGCGTCATTTTTAATAATGTTTTTTAATATAAATTTTCAAACGGTAATTAAAAATAGTGGGTAAAACGTAAATGACGTTTTCTACCGACTTGTACTCGCTAACAGCAACAGAAACCGAAAGCTTCATTCTCTGTTGGCTCGAAGGATTTCTGAAGTCTTGCCAAAAGGATGTGTAAGGAGGGAAAGGTTTTGAGTGCAGTTCAGTTGCTTGATAAAATGACTGAAGAGAAAGTTGAAGTAAAGGTGCCCACATATAGCATAATCATTGATTATTGAGTCCATGTGGGCAAGTCTTGGCCATTGATGGATCAACTGCAAACCTTACCAGGCCAAGTGTAGCCAGAGTCTGCGTTTTGGTCAAATCTTTTAAAGAACAATCCAGATAGAATATGGTTAGATGAGGGAGGACTCAAAGGTCATTGGCAGAAGATTGTCCATGAAAAAGACAAAAAATATTGTCAAGTTTGTTGCAAACAGGGCCATGATGAAATGGATTGTAGAAAGAGGGAAAAGTCTGGGCCTGAAATTACATCTTTAGAGGTAAGTAAAGAGCAGATTATGGAGTGATGGGACTTTTCTGAAATATCCTATGATGAAGACACGTGTCTTCGGTATTATTAAAATACTGTTGCTAAGATCAAGCACCATCGGCTCACAAGGCCCTCTCCCCCGAGGTACTCGGCATATAGGATCACGCATTCAGTATGCTTTGCACCGACACGTGGCCTCGGTCTGATACGGTACCTCGGTCGGTGNTAAAACACTGTTGCTAAGATCAAGCACCATCGGCTCACAAGGCCCTCTCCCCCGAGGTACCCGGCATATAGGATCACGCATTCAGTATGCTTTGCACCGACACGTGGCCTCGGTCTGATACGGTACCTCGGTCGGTGTCCTACCTCGGAGCCGAGATGACCCTTCCCTTGGTGCCGAGGTGTACCGTCCAGGACGCCTCCTCTACTCCAGGATAAGCTACTGACGTACAGGTCATTAGCCTAGACTATTCATCATAACCTCGTCTTACACAAGTAATGTCAGAACGTACTGGAATACAGAGGTCACAGCCAGTAGGGGATGGACGCGTGGCATATGATATCACATCAAAGACAGACAAACCGCATGCCGTTGCTGACACGCGACTTGGGAAAGCAAACAATTAATTGCACCATTCCCTTGATGAGACCGCATTCAATGCGGTAAGGTTCGGAAATGAAAGGCAATAAATGCTCCTAAGACAGAGCATTTATTGCGTCCTCCCCGAGAGGAGCACATTGTACCGTCGGCATCCTGATGACCCAGCATTGATTACTCGGGATCCCGAGTAGTTAATTAAAGAAGACATTCCTCAACAGGATCAATGCACACGCTACCTGTACCTAATGATCACCTACTGACCACATTGACAGCAATCATGAGCTTTTGAGGTATAAATATTCCTTGCAAAAGGCAAGACGGGTATGCAATCACAAACTCTTTACTACAATACACACTGAGTGTTTTCTCATTCCTCTCTCTCACTCAAAGACTGACTAGACCGTCGGAGGGGATACGCCGGAAAACACTCCGGCGCCCTTCTAACTTGTTCTTCTTNCTCTCTCTCTCAAAGACTGACTAGACCGTCGGAGGGGATACGCCGGAAAACACTCCGGCGCCCTTCTAACTTGTTCTTCTTTGTTCCAGGAACCCCTTTCAGCCTTACCGGATCGTTCTCTAGTTCCCCCAGGGTCTCCCGTTGCCGTTTTAGGCTACCACCGGACCTCGCAGGCTGTTTCAGGCAGCGTGTTTGGTCACTCAACCGGCTCACTCGAAGTTCACCAGGGGAGAGATCTGTTCTCGTTTTTTATATTGTGCAGGATCTTGCACGCACAATCTGGCGCCGTCTGTGGGAAGCTACTAGTTTTCCTAGTTTTCTCTCTGTAAAGAACAGTGACCATGGTGAACACTCGACAGAGAGGGAAAGGACCCCACCAAAGGAGTCTCGAGTTACAAGCTCCCTGTCATCACGGAGGGAGGGATCACACCAATACGAATAAAAGTGTCTCTACTCGGTCAAGGGGGGTTACCCCTCAAACCAGTATGGGAATCAGGTCAGGGGGATCAGCCCCCTTGGCTCGTCAGCTGGCGGAGGTGATTGAAGAAAAATTTGGCGATAGATTACGTCAGCTGGAGAAGGACAATGTAAACGTCCTTAGCCGGCTCGACGAGTTTGCCGCCTCAGGCGGAGGGTCGAGGGATTCATTCCTTTCCCGTGGACTTCCCGCCCGGGAGGCGGAAACGAAGGATCTAAGAAATCACCTAGACCACAAAGCAGAAAGCTCTAGGGCCCCGAAGCGACCCAGAGCCGGCGAACATCATCATGACAACCATTCCAGAANCACAAAGCAGAAAGCTCTAGGGCCCCAAAGCGACCCAGAGCCGGTGAACATCATCATGACAACCACTCCAGGAAAGCAAGGCCATTGGCCCTGGACAACCTTCGGCGAGGTTTGTCTAGACGGAGGAAGGGAGATGAATCGGAGGAGGACTCAACCCAATCCACACGACGCCCAGGAAATGAGGGGCTTACCGATGAAATCAGGGACTTCAGAAGGCATCCCGTTAGGGAAGAAATAGATCTCAGAGCTCNGTGATGTACTTCGAAACTCTGAAACGGATGAGTCTTGGCCCCAAAGACCTCACCAAAGTCAGGACACCCCTCATCGGGTTCAACGGCTCATTCGCCTTGCCCGTGGGGAAAATCACATTGCCAGTTGCCACTGGTCCCTTTATCATCGACACCGAGTTTGTGGTGATCGATACGGACTCTCCCTACAACGTGATCATGGGGTGAACATGGCTGCATGTGTTGGGAGCGGTGCACTCCACTTTCCACCAGAAGTTAAAATTCGCCACGCCAGAGGGTATCATGGAGATCCGGGGGTACCAAGCGTCCGCGAAGAACTGTTTTTATTCGGCCGTCCGAGTCGGGGCGTCCAGCCAGGAGAAGGGGCGAGCACCGGAAGAGATTATGGAAAAATAGCAATTACAGTCCGGACGTCCAGGAATGGATGACCCCTGGATAGACCCGACTGAACGGTCGGTTGAAGACCTCCGGAAGGTGCCCTTGGTAAAGGGAGAAGAAGAGAGGTATTTCTTAGTGGGGACCTCGATGCCTACAGCCGAACAGGAGGAGATGATCGAGTTCCTAAGGGGAAATACAGACGTGTTCGCCTGGAACGAGATGGAAATGACGGGAGTAGACCCCGAGATAATCACTCACAGGCTGCATGTTGACCCGTCGCACAAGCCAGTCAAACAGAGGCCACGACGCATGGCCGCGCATCACACCAACGCGGTCAACGAGGAAATTGACAAACTCCTGAAGGCCGATGTCATACGAGAGATACAGTTCTCAGAGTGGCTGTCCAATACGGTATGCGCAAAGAAGAAAGGGGAGAAATGGCGTGTCTGCGTAGATTTTACTGNCGCCATCCGATACTGGGAAGAGGTCAATGAGGTAGAAGGCTGCTCGGAAGTCATGGCGGCGGCATCTTTCCGGCTCGGCTTGGCGAGGGACACGGACCTGTACCGATCCCTGACCAAGAAGACTCCCTCGGATATGGGGGAACTGATGGCCCGGATCAACAAGTACTCGAGGGTTGAGGACGAGATGGGAAGCAACAAAGGCCGAGCCCTCCAATCTAAGAGAAAGGAGAAGGAGCGCGAAGATATTCCCCGAAAGGGATTGCTACCCCATCCAGGGGGTTCGTCCAGAGGAGTTCACACTGTTTTCAAGGAACCCATCTTCAAGTTGCTCCATAAAATCAAGCACGAGCCGTTCTTCAAATGGCCGCCCAGGATGCAGGGCGGCCCCTCCACCCGTGATCAAAAGGTTAAGTGTTCCTATCACCGGGATTTCGGGCATCGCACCGAAAGCTGTAGGGTGTTCAAATCGTTCTTGGAA